TCCGCCCGTCTCGGCCTCCCAAAGTGCTGGGATTACAGGCTTAAGCCACCGCGCCCGGCCTCTCTCTCTCTCTTTTTTTTTTTTTTTTTTTTTTTGAGGAATTACCATGTATCAGAAACTGCTCAGTACTGTGTGTGAATCAAGTCACATAATCATTACAAATCTATGAAGTAGGTACAGCTATGTCCGTTTTGCCAAGAGAAGGAAACAAAGGTGCCAGTTAGTTAATGTACCCATACCTGTTGAATGACAGAATTCCAACCCAGGCAGGCTACCTCCAGAACCATTGTTTTTTAACCACTTTGTTAAACTAGCATTTATTGAATTCCTCTTCTATGCCGATATTGTGCCAGGCTCTTTACATTTTCTTATTCAGTCTCCTTGGCAGTTCAACCAGATAGATACTATTTTCCCCAGTTGACACAAAAGGAAATTAATGCCTAGTTAAAGCATTTGGTTCTACAAGGCGTTCAGCTCCTAAGTGGCAGAGGTGGGATTTGAACCCTGGCCTGATCTCTCCATTGTGCTGTGCTTTAAACCTCATACAAGTTCATGGCCATCAACTGTGCTGTGCCAGTTCTGTCGAAGGCATCAGGTGTCAAGACTGTCCGTTCAGCAAGTTCGCAAATGGAAAAGCAACTGCTTTGGGGCCTAATTTTTGGATCATACCCGAGATTAACATCTCCCGCAATATCCCTTTTCCACACTCCATGAAAATGACGTTGCTTCACCTTTCATTTTTCTTCCATTTAAGTGGCTTTGGTTTTAATGGAACTTGCTGTGTTGGTGGGGCTGAAGTTCAAGTTTCTGCCCTCCCCCAGCCTGGCTGTCTCACCCAACAGCACAACTTGATCAAAGCCCACCTATTGGCCAGTGCCCGTTCAGCCACACTGGCCAGTTCCCTGAGGGTTTACGGGGAGTCCAGCCTCAATGGTAGAAAAGCAAAAGAAGGAAGCAGCTGTGTTCCCTGCCAGAAAGTGTCCCTTTGGCCACACAGAACACTCACCCTCACTTAGCGCCTCCCTTGCTTTGGAGAGTCTGCCCATAGGATGAGATAGAATCCAGGACTTCCACTTCCTCTCTCTCTGCGGCTAAGCTCTTGGGTTCCCACCCTTCTGTCCTGTTTTCATTTCATGAAACTTTTCTTTCCAGCTCTGGATACTCCTTTTCCTAACCCTTCTCTTGGTCCCTGCCTACTCCTTCACTAGACGCGCAGCTTCCTGCCATCTCTCTGTAGCTTCCAGAGGCATATTGCCATCCCACACATGGGCCCCATCTCGGGTGCCTGTCATGTTGTTAGGCTACTCATTCATTCATTCAGTTTAGTGCACGATTGTTGAGTACTCGTTCAACAGGCCAGGAAGTGTGGGGGACAGGGATATGTAAGAGAGGTGACCCAGCTGGCCGTGGTGGCTCACACCTGTAATTCCAGCACTGTGGGAGGCCAAGACAGGTGGATCACGAGGTCAAGAAATGGAGACCATCCTGGCCAACGTGGTAAAATCCCGTGTCTACTAAAAATACAAAGATCAGCCAGGTATGGTGGTAGGCGTCTGTAATCCCAGCCACTTGGGAGGTTGAGGCAGGAGAATCGCTTGAACGCTTGAACTGGGGAGGCGGAGATTGCAGTGAGCCAAGATTGCACCACTGCACTGCAGCCTGGCAACAGAGCAAGACTCCATCTCAAAAAAAAAAAAAAAGAGAGAGAAAGAGAGAGAGAGAGTTAGAAGTGACCCAGCCAGTGCTTAAGGAGGCTCCTGGCTCTTGAGCGAGGCTTCCTGGTTTTGAATTGCAACTCCAGCACTTACTGCTTTTACTTTGACATTTAGTAAGTTATGAGAATTTAAAACAATATCTGTGTGTGTGTGTGTGTGTGTGTGTGTGAGAGAGAGAGAGAGAGAGAGAGAGACAGAGAGAGACAGATTTAAAATAGTCTCAGTACACAATAAGTGGTTAACTAATATTAGCTGCTTCTTATTGTGGTTATATGACTGTATTCGTTTTCTACTACTGTATAACAATTTATCACAAACATAGCGGCTTGAAACAAATTTGTGATCTCACAGTCTCTAGGGATCAGAGATCCGGCCACGGAATGACTGGATTCTCTGCTCGGGATCTCACTGGGCTGAAATCAAGGAGTCAGCAGACCTGCAATTCTCCTCTTCCCAGATCACTGGTGGTTAGCAGAATTTCTTTCCTTTCATTCCTAGGCCTAAGGTCCCATTTTCCTGCTGGCTTTGGGCCACGGACTGCTCTCCTAGAGTCTAGTTCTTTGCCACATGGCCCCCATAGGCAGCTCCCAACGTAGCTCCTTGCTTTCTTCCAGACCCAGGTCTAAAGGGTCACATGATTCCATTATCTCCCATTTTCACGCAAGGTAAACTGGTGAGTAACCTCATTTATATTTACAACAATCCTTTCTGCCATATAATGTAACATAATCCCAGGAGCGATCACATATATACTCACAGGTTCTGCCCCAAGGGGAGAGCACTGTACAGGGTGAGAGTCATGGGGGACCGTCTTATACTCCTGCCTACCACAGTGGCCTCTGGCAGCAATCACTCTACACAAGCCGACCTGCAGTCAGTTCCTGAGAAATAGCATGGAGCCCTCCAGGAGTTCCTTTTCATATTGACAATCTCCTCGTTAGTGAAGTCTGCAGATAGCAGACGGGATTAGGGTTTCCTGTAGCTGCTGCAGCAAAATACTAAAAACCGGATGGCTTAACATAATAGAAATTTATTCTCTCACGATTCTGGAGGCCAAAAGTCCAAGATCAAGCTGTCGGCAGGTCCATGCTTCTTCCCCGAGGTCCTAGGCCTCTTTCTGGTGGTTGCCAGTCGTGTTTGGCAATCTTTGATTTACAGATGCACCCATCATTCCCATCTCTGCCGATGCCTATACATGGTATTCTTGCGGCGTGTCTCTGTGTCTCAATTTTCCCCTTCTTATAAGGATAGCAGTCATTGGATTAGTGCCCACCCCAATCCACTGTGATCTTGTCATAACCTCATTATATCTGCAAAGATCCTGATTCCAAGTAGGTCCCATTCACAGGTACTTGGGGTTGGGACTTCAACATAGCTTTTGGGAGAGAGACAGTTCCACTCACCCGAGAACTACATCCGGGTACACCTCTTCCTCCTCCACATCGGCTGCATTTGGAGAGCTTGCCTTCCTTCCCTCCACCCAGTGGCTTTTCTCCGTGTGTCTCAGGTACCACGTCTGGACGAAAGGCCACGCACCCACAAACTTCGCCAAGTGGCGGACCGCCACCACGCCTTACCGGGTGGAGTGGGAGGCCGATTTTGAGCCGTATGTTGTCGTGAGACGCGACTGCCCGGAGTACGACCGGAGGTTTGTAGGCTTCGGCTGGAACAAAGTGGCGCATATCATGGAACTGGATGTGCAGGTGAGAACGGAGCATCCACCTAGTGCGACCAACCAGGGAGAGGCCTAGATCCTAGAGCTTAAGGGATTCTTGGAGACGAGAAAGCCAAGAGCTAAGAGGGAACAAGGTATGCTCGTGGACCAGTGGTAGTACTGATCCTCGGGCTCTTGATCCCAAACCGTTGCTCCTTCCTCAACCCTTGGGTGAGAGTTGGGTTCTTGGCCAGGACCCAGGTAAACGTGAGTTTCCTGTGACAAACCATTTCACCTCCTCATCCTCACCCAACCTGATGATGAAGACACGCAAATGTGACCATTCGTCACTTGGCCTTTGAGTCACGTAACACAACAAAGCATGCTGCTAAGATGCAGCTAATTATTCCACCCTTTACTAAAAGATTTGTAGATGCATACATCATTACTAACAGAGTGGTGACTCTGAGACTGTTTAGTCATGAACTCCTTCATTCATCCCATTGATACATATTGAACTCCTACTTCGAAGTAGATCTTCTACAGAATTCTAATAGGTGAAACCAAGGATCAACAAACTTTTTCTGTAAAGGATCAGATAGTAAGTGTTTTGAGCTTTATGGGACCTACAGGTCTCCTTTTCAACTACTTAACTCTGCCATTGTAGTTCAGTCTTAGACAGCCTTTAAACAAATGGGTGTGGCTGTTTCAATAAAACTTTATTTACAAAAACATGAAATGGGCCAGACATGCTCTAATTTTTCAGCCCCTGTGTTAAACAAACAAAAGCAAAGCAGCTCTGGTTGAATTAGAAGAAGGATTCCTGGGTCCCTCCAACCCGATTTTGTTTGTGTGTGTGTGTGTGTGTGTGCTCTTCTCCAAGACCTCTCCTCCTGGTGCACAGTGCACATATTTTTCAACAAGAGCACCTCCAATTCAGAAAAAGCTGAGGTTGGATACTGAGTGCTGGCCATTCATGAGAATCACCAGGAGAACTTTCCTTCCCATAGTTCCAATGTTTGAGAGCAGTCCCAGGTGATTGAGAAGCGCTGGGGTTGAGAACCACTGATGTAGACAGAAGGTTATAGAATCATGTCCATATTTAACAACAGAAAGCAGGGCTGTCAGTATCCATATTTTTGATAATACTTTGAATGAGCAGAGTGCTACTCATGGGCAATAGTGTTCAGTCTGCCTCAGCTTCTGCTTCAAAGGAGTGTCATGTTCATGTGTCCGGCAGTGCTGTGAGATGAACTGGTTCAAAGAAAGTTAATATTTCCAGCCATGAGACCTGGACTTTGCTTGTTTTAGATAGTTTTGACAGAATTCTTGAAAATATGTTGCATATTTTCTTTTGTTTGCCAATAGCATGTCCCAAACATACTCTTACCCTTTCCAATACCTTAAGGAAGCAATGAGTGCACACCTGCCAGGTAATAACACGCATACCCATGGAGCTAGTGCGGTTGGTGGGGGATCTTTGTCCCTCCATTAAATGTCCCAGACAGTTCAGCTCTGGGAGAGCTTGCATTTTCTTTTGATGGTTTTTCTCACTCATTCCTCACCAGCAACTGTCTTTTCTGGCTGCTGTGGTATTGTTCTACCTATAACAGCCGCCTTTCCCCATCCCAATTTTCCCCGAGTTTATTCTTATCTGCTCTGGGCTGGGAAACTAGATAACAAAAGCTTATCAGACAATATGTCCAAAATGAGAGTAAATAGATCTGAGTAAAAGTGTGCTGAGTTCTCCTTTAAGCGATATGACCTAAATCTGGGTCACCTGTTTTGGCTCTTCAGTGGCCTTTTATTTTTGGCCTGAGAATTAAGCTGTATTCTGCCAAGTTGAGAATACTGGATGACAATGTGACCTGCTATAAGGATGTGTCAGGGAGAGGTTTGTTCTTGGTGAGCTTACGTCCAGCGAAACATTTGTTTTTATTTCATCGTGTCGCTCATTTTTTTTTTTTTGGTACCTTCTTTTGCACTCATCTGTTGAGGCTGTCAGATCGCATTAAGTCCTATGAGGAATCATAAACAGATGTCAGTTAATTGAGCAAGAGAATATCCCATGGCATGTGTCATCCTAGAGTGTCCATGTGGGTGTGAGCCCACATCTATTAAGAAACCTTTTCTAGGCCATGAGCTCGGCTCAGCACTGTTTATACAGTATTGGCTTCCCCGTCATGGTCATCGTTCAAGGATATTATTACTTTCACCTTATAGATGAGAACATGAAGGCTCAGAGAAGCCAGTTTCCTGGTCCAAGGTCATGGAAACAGCCCTGAACTGCCCCACTCCAAAACTATCATGCTGTCCATGTACCCCGTGCTTGTGGGTGCCATTATCAAGTCATTCATTCGCTAGCTATTCAGTCATTTGCTTGGGCCTTCATCATGCATGACCCTGGCCAGGCTCTGGCAGGTTCTCACGCTGCTCTTGTCTTCTTCCAGGAGTATGAATTCATTGTGCTGCCTAACGCCTACATGATCCACATGCCCCATGCCCCCAGCTTCGACATTACCAAGTTCCGTTCCAACAAGCAATACCGCATCTGTCTCAAAACCCTCAAGGAAGAGTTTCAGCAGGACATGTCCCGCCGCTATGGCTTTGCTGCCCTGAAATATCTCACAGCCGAGAACAACAGCTAGCACCAAGACGCCCACCACTAGGGGGAGACATGCTGCAGGGGAAGTGCCACTCGCTGTTTGGGGCCCAGCCTTCAAATTCAAAATTGAGCCATGCTTTTTTGGTTTGTTTTTATTTATCTCTTTGGCCCAGCCAAGCTGCCCTCACTACAGAGACCTTGCACAAGGATCCAGCCAGTCTGTCTCTGCCCCACAACCCTGCATTCCCAGAGGTTAGATATGCAGCCCACCTAGATGAGTCTCTTCAAGAATGGGAAATCAAGGGGTGAGAGGGAGTAAAAGGGTTTTCATCTTACTGCAAAGCCACAAGATCAAGGCAGGGCTTTAGGATGTTCTGGTTGCTTTTTAATAATTATACTTCGCATCATAACTAGGGAGAAAGGGAAGTCAGGGTGCTAGGGGTTATTCGTCCCAGGAAATAGAAGCGAAATTGTCTTTGTTTAGTGGAAACTTTCCCCTTTGCCCTGCAATGTAGTTGGGCATTCAAACGGAGGGGAAACCAATGACCTGAACCAACCACATGGAAAAACCCAATGGGGACATCGTAGCCAGGGGGTCCTGGAGGTGAGGTCAATGGGTTTCCTTATCCCCAAAGTCACTCCTGTTTTGTTTTTATTTGTTTTTCTTTGGGGATTTTGTTTGTTTATTTTGGGGACTGGCAATCCAAAACAGAAAATCTGATCCTTTGAGGCTCTGCAGGAAAATCAGCTGCCTCTACCAATCACCCTCTATCAGCAGTGGCCCGGGAAGGAGATCAACCATCTTCGGCCAATATTGAAACATGGGCAGCTTCCTTCAGGATGATCACCGAGGCTCCCGTGACTTTGAACTCCCTACTGTCCAGAATCCAGGGGCCACGATGGGGACTGCGGAATTACGAGGGCTGACTGTTTTACACCGGTCACATTTTCTATTGGCAGTGACTGATTCATGGGAAAGGGCTTTGAAGGAACTATTTCAGTGCACACGCAAGGTACGAACCTCTCAGGCCTTTAGAAGAACTTTAATAACTCATGCAAGCCCAGTTCTGAAGATCAACGTATCCATCTAGAGACCTACAGGAAGAACGCGATTGGGTTCCTCTGGTTCTTGCCTGCTTCACTGTGGATGGGAAGAGGTGACAACCTCAGTCTCCCTTTGGGACTTGGCCAAGGGTAGGCAACCACCTTCACCTTCACACAGATTGAGGAGACACTGGACTTTTTACCCATTTTCTTTAATCTTCAATATTAATGTTGTGTTTACATTGATGAGAACGAGAGTTAATGCCCTACCCTCTGCTGGGCTGTTTGTATTGAGTTGCAATGTGACCAGCGAAAGCTGCATTTAATAAATGAAAGTACAGACTGTTTCTTCCCCATTCCCCTCCCACTCTTGCAAGAAGCTACTGAGACACACCTTGACAGAGAGAGGTAAATTGCAATGGATAAACAGCAACTTCACACTTTTCTGTTGCCCCGTTCTATTTTTCTCATCATTTGAACTTTAACCCTTTTTTTCCCCCTTTTGCCTGAGGTTAGATCCCACTCTGTCTCTAACTCAAACCATCTTCAAGTTTTTCCATTCAGCATACTTCTCAACACTGAAGCCAGATGTTGTCTTCTACCAGATGTGGGCTAGGAGGGTAAATCCTGGTAATCAATTGTAAAGGGAACATTCCATCCTTGGGCCTGGTAGTCGTGTGGCACCCTATAGCAATCCGGTTTGTGAGATCACTCAGTATGTTAACACGTTCACGTGGATGTTGCACTGAAATTTATACAAGAATTAGGAAAATTAAAATTAGGACTAATTTTTGCATACATATAGCTAGGCTCATGTATATATGTAGAGAGATATATATTATAGACAGAGCATATACATATATAGCATATATATAAGCATTTATAAATAAAATGATATATATGTATAAAGCAGAACAAAGAAAGTTTTCACAGTACATGTCAAAAGTCCCATTTCTTCAGTGGCGTGCCAGGCCAGCTTCTACATGCCCACAAGACCTTTGTGAGCGTATCTCCAGTTTCCATGTTCAGTGATTCCTCCCTGCTCATCCCCAAGAACTGGTTGTTAAATATTTACCAGCAGCACATCGTTGACTTTTTCCGTCCCCTTTGTACACACAGACAGATACACAGACACAGAGGCACTCACTGATTTCTCCTCCTTCCCTAGAGAGAATCACTGTTAGGTGATGTACACGTACCAATACAGTTTTTGAATTAATCATTACCGGTTACTTGAGCCAAGTGAAAACCTGGTGGCAGCACTGGTTTCTCAATGTTAAAAATCAATTTTTCATTCTCTAAAGCCTTTTTATTTTTAAAATTTTGCTTGGCGCCTGACTCCTGCCCAGCCACCGTGCTTTCACTTGCATTTTTATGGGCATAGCTGGTGACCATATAATTTGTCATCTAAACCGGGTCACTTCTGAGAATGAAAGGCGCTAATTATTTTTACACAATAGGCGTAAACTAGAAGACGATGTAGCTTCATGTACAGTGAATTTATTAAGGCCAGAAACTGATACTCACACCAACGGGAGAAAATCCTATTTCCCCAAAGACAGGTGCCTGACACTGTAAGCCAGTCTCACTTAAAGCTGGAACTCAGACATTGGCGGATGCCCAACTTCAACAGAGAGGCTGCCAACTCAATGGAGGCTGAGGTCCGCAGAGCCAACGGCCTGCTTTCCCAGAACGTACATTGGGAGCAGCAGTTCACTGCCAGCCCCGGCTCCGGTGTGGGGAGCTGCAGCCATTTGGGCAGAGGTAATTGCAAAAGATGTTGATTCCTTTGCATCAATTGCCTGGGGGGTAAAACAGGCTTTTAAGTGCATCACACTGATGTTTTCATGCTTAAATAAACCAATACCATCTTGGCTTTCAGTTGAGAGGAAGGACAAGGTTCCCTCATTTGGCCCCCTTAACAGTCAGTGTGCAGGGGAACTGAGATGTTTTTAGTAATCACTATGTACAGACGCCTTTGGCACGCATGAATTCACCGAACCCTTGGAGCAAAACTGCAAAGTGGATATTAACATTCCTAGATGGGGAACCTGAGTGCATTCTGTGTAATTAAGTAACTCCCCCCAAATTCAGACCTAGAATTCAAACCGGATCCTACTACTTTGAATCCAAAGCCACATAACCTGCAATGCTACTTCCTTTCCCAATAAGAAGGAAACAGACATGAAACAGTGACAGACAAGAGAATTTGAGCCTATGTAGGAAGATTGTTGGATTTCTAGTCTTCTTCCTTCAACATCCATCCGATAACACACACAATCCAGACAGTAATGTCTCCTAAAATAACTCAAAATCTTGCTATGCTCGTGGACTTCCTGAAAATTCATTTGAAATAGACCTGGGTGATCTATAGTCATATTCAGACAGCTGGCTTCCACTCTAGGGGGTAGTAATTGATTGCTTCTCCTTGGTTGGTTCTTAGATTACATGGCTCAGGTAGAGTCACTAAGTTTTAAGCTCTGCCTTGTACTCCGACTTAGGATGCTGCCTCAGAGTGATCTCTCTGAATGTGTTGAACTGATTTACAGAGCACATATTTGCTGAGTTGACTAATAGCCTCTTTGTGCCCCATCATGAAAGGACAGACCCTACTTTAATTCTGTTCTTTTCAAAGACTCTACTGTCTTTGAGTTAAGGCTTCATTTGTGGTCACCAGGCCTTTAGGGAGCTCTGTGTTAGTGAAAGAAATGTGATTAAAATCCCCTCTCAGACACAGCTCCTGCCACTCTTGGTAGAGATAATGAGAACTACCCTTTATTGAACCAAGACTTCTATGGTAGTTGGCAATGATGGATCCTCACAGCTATGTTATAAAATAAGGGAGATATTATTATCCCCATTATTTAGCTAATAAGACTAACTCCCAGAGAAATTATGTGACTTGCCCAAGATCACACAGGCTGCTAACGGAGTGCCAGAATTTGAACCAAAATCTGGCTGGCTTCAAAAACCCCTGTCTTCCCACTAAAATGTGCTACTGCCTTCCCATACAATACTGAAATCAGCTTAGCTGCGAGGCTTATACAGTCCTATCTTCATGTGCTTCATATACTTTGTTTTCCTTATTTTTTTAGCCCTAAGGGTTTATTCTTCAGCTTAGTGCCATTCAAGTTTATGAAATGTCACTTATCTGCCATATGCATTCTAAGAGGTTTCAGACCCATAGAATCTAATGTTGGACATACCGTGATCTTTGTTTTCATTCATTTAACAAAACTACTTTTCATGAGGGTCCTTTAATTTCAAGGAATAACTGGTGATATCCAAAAGGAGGTAATGGGGGTGCCACAAAAATGTAGGGTTTCCGATTGTGAATATTTAATGGATTTGGTCATTGGTTTGTTCTAACACATTCATGTAGTCTGAAGAGAGAATGTCTTCTGGAATGAAAACATGCCAGGCAGCCTGGGAAAGCGTTGCCCAAAGCGTGGTACCAAGGCCATCGCATCAATGAGGCCAGGACAATGTCATGAAATGATTGACAGGGCTCACTGAGAGCAAAGCTTTGACAGATTCCTGGGTAAGTAATGCTGCAGTGGTGCTGAAGAAAGAAAAGAAGGGCTCCAGTGACATCAGTCATTTCATTGTACTTTTTATCATTTTTTTCTGAATTCCACAAGTAATTTATTGAGCATCTACTCTCTGATGGACATGACGAATGCAACAGTGAACCAGGTACAGTCTACTTTGATGTAAGTGCGCTTCACTAGACAGCAGAAAAGTAAATAGATAATGCCAAGGCTGGTTTCACCTTATGATTTTCACATAAACAGTTTTAGTTTTGTTTTATTTTCATTTATTTTTGAAGCTGTAAGTTTGAAAACTTACAAGAAAATCGCAAGGATAATATGAAGAACTTTATCCCTTACATTTAGATTAACCATTTGTTAACATTTTGCCACATAATCTTCATAGGTTTTTTCCTCAAACATTTGAAAATGAATTGTAGATACCATGCCCCTTTAAATTTAAATATTTTTAAAAAACATGACATTGTCTTGTATAACCAAAATACAAGGGTTAAATTCAGAAGTTGTTTCATTAGTTCAGTGTTTTGAATGAAAAATAAGCATGCATACACAAGGCAATGCATATGTCTGTATGCATGTGTGATTTTTTGAGTTTATTAATATTATATAGCATATTATGTGACAAAATTTTATGGCCGGTAGTGCTTAAAAGCCAGATTGAGAAGGTTTACCATCATGATGTATACATTTCTGAGATGATTCAATAGGTGGGTCCCTAACGCAATGTGTACTATAGTATGTCACTAACTTAGTCGCCTTATTACCAGACAATGAAAGTGATTATTTTCTACCTGCTTAAAAGTTTTATAACAACTAGGCCGGGCGTGGTGGCTCATACCTGTAATCCCAGCACTTTGGGAGGCCGAGGTGGGCAGATCACAAGGTCAGGAGATCAAGACCATCCTGGCTAACACAGTGAAACCCTGTCTCTACAAAAATGTAAAAAATTAGCTGGACGTGGTGGTGGGCGCCTGTAGTCCCAGCTACTTGGGAGGCTGAGGCAAGAGAATGGTGTGAACCCAGGGGACGGAGCTTGCAGTGAGCCGAGATTGCACCACCGCACTCCAGCCTGGGTAACAGAGCGAGACTCCGTCTCAAAAAAAGAAAAAGTTTTATAACAGCTATTAAGATATATTTATCAGTTGAAATGCTTTTTGTGTGAGAATGCATGTCTATTATGTGTGGTTATAAATGTGAACCTTCTTAGTTTTTTTAGTTTCTCAGATATACAAGGAGAAAGATACATCAAAACGGCTATGTAAGAATTTTTGACTTTTGGGCGCCGGGCATGGTGGCTCATGCCTGTAATCCCAGCACTTTGGGAGGCTGAGGCAGATGAATCACTTGAGGCCAGGTGTTCCAGACCAGCCTGGCCAACATGGTGAAACCCCATCTCTACTAAAAATACAAAAGTTAGCCGGATATAGTGGCAGGTGCCTATAATCACAGCTACTCGGGAGGCTGAGAGGACAATCGTCTGAGCCCAGAAGGCAGAGGTTGCAGTGAGCCAAGATTACGCCACTGAACTCCAGCCTGGGCAACAGAGCAAGACCCCATCTCAAAAAAAAAAAAAATTATTGACTTTTCCCATTATGCATGGGTCCACATAATCTAGCTCTTTAATATTCCAGTTTTGAATCTTCACCCTCCCCAAAGATTATGTAATACTTAGATAAAACTGAGTGACTTGGTTTCCTTCCCCATGAATGTTAAGACGAACATTTAACATTGAGAAGAGCAGAAACATCTTTTACGGAAGTGATAGAAAACTGCCTCACCCTACTGATTCCAATACC